GTGCTGTATGGTGCAGTGGTGCTGTGTGGTGCAGTGGTGCAGTGGTGCTGTATGGTGCAGTGATGCTGTATGGTGCAGTGGTGCTGTGTGGTGCAGTGGTGCTGTATGGTGCAGTGGTGCAGTGGTGCAGTGGTGCTGTATGGTGCAGTGATGCTGTATGGTGCAGTGGTGCTGTATGGTGCAGTGGTGCAGTGGTGCAGTGGTGCTGTGTGGTGCAGTGGTGCTGTATGGTGCAGTGGTGCTGTATGGTGCAGTGGTGCTGTATGGTGCAGTGGTGCAGTGGTGCTGTATGGTGCAGTGATGCTGTATGGTGCTGTGTAGTGCAGTGGTGCTGTATGGTGCAGTGGTGCTGTGTGGTGCAGTGTGGTGCAGTGGTGCTGTATGGTGCAGTGATGCTGTATGGTGCTGTGTAGTGCAGTGGTGCTGTATGGTGCAGTGGTGCTGTATGGTGCAGTGGTGCTGTGTGGTGCAGTGGTGCTGTATGGTGCAGTGGTGCAGTGGTGCAGTGGTGCTGTGTGGTGCAGTGGTGCTGTATGGTGCAGTGGTGCTGTATGGTGAAGTGGTGCTGTATGGTGCAGTGGTGCAGTGGTGCTGTATGGTGCAGTGATGCTGTATGGTGCTGTGTAGTGCAGTGGTGCTGTATGGTGCAGTGGTGCTGTATGGTGCAGTGGTGCTGTGTGGTGCAGTGGTGCTGTATGGTGCAGTGATGCTGTATGGTGCTGTGTGGTGAAGTGGTGCTGTATGGTGCAGTGGTGCTGTATGGTGCAGTGATGCTGTGTGGTGCAGTGGTGCTGTATGGTGCAGTGATGTTGTATGGTGCAGTGGTGCTGTATAGTGCAGTGGTGCTGTGTGGTGCAGTGGTGCTGTATGGTGCAGTGGTGCTGTGTGGTGCAGTGGTGCTGTATGGTGCAGAGGTGCTGTATGGTGCAGTGGTGCTGTATGGTGCAGTGGTGCTGTATGGTGCAGTGGTGCAGTGGTGCTGTATGGTGCAGTGGTGCAGTGGTGCTGTATGGTGCAGTGGTGCAGTGGTGCTGTATGGTGCAATGGTGCAGTGGTGCAGTGGTGCAGTGGTGCTGTGTGGTGCAATGGTGCAGTGGTGCTGTGTGGTGCAGTGGTGTTGTGTGGTGCAGTGGTGCTGTATGGTGCAGTGGTGCTGTGTGGTGCAGTGGTGCTGTTTGGTGCAGTGGTGCTGTGTAGTGCATTGGTGTTGTGTGGTGCAGTGGTGCTGTGTGGTGCAGTGGTGCTGTGTGGTGCAGTGGTGCTGTATGGTGCAGTGGTGCTGTATGGTGCAGTGGTGCTGTGTGGTGCAGTGGTGCAGTGGTGCTGTGGTGCTGTGTGGTGCAGTGGTGCTGTGTGGTGCACTGGTGCTGTGTGGTGCAGTGGTGCTGTGTGGTGCAGTGGTGCTGTGTGGTGCAGTGGTGCTGTATGGTGCAGTGGTGCTGTATGGTGCTGTATGGTGCAGTGGTGCTGTATGGTGGAGTGGTGCTAAATGGTGCAGTGGTGCTGTATGGTGCAGTGGTGCTGTGTGGTGCAGTGGTGCTGTATGGTGCAGTGGTGCAGTAGTGCAGTGGTGCTGTATGGTGCAGTGATGCTGTATGGTGCTGTGTGGTGCGGTGGTGCTGTATGGTGCAGTGGTGCTGTATGGTGCAGTGATGCTGTATGGTGCTGTGTGGTGAAGTGGTGCTGTATGGTGCAGTGGTGCTGTATGGTGCAGTGATGCTGTGTGGTGCAGTGGTGCTGTATGGTGCAGTGATGTTGTATGGTGCAGTGGTGCTGTATAGTGCAGTGGTGCAGTGTGGCTGTGTGGTGCAGTGGTGCTGTATGGTGCAGTGGTGCTGTGTGGTGCAGTGGTGCTGTATGGTGCAGAGGTGCTGTATGGTGCAGTGGTGCTGTATGGTGCAGTGGTGCAGTGGTGCTGTATGGTGCAGTGGTGCAGTGGTGCTGTATGGTGCAGTGGTGCAGTGGTGCTGTATGGTGCAATGGTGCAGTGGTGCAGTGGTGCAGTGGTGCTGTGTGGTGCAATGGTGCAGTGGTGCTGTGTGGTGCAGTGGTGTTGTGTGGTGCAGTGGTGCTGTATGGTGCAGTGGTGCAGTGGTGCTGTATGGTGCAATGGTGCAGTGGTGCAGTGGTGCTGTATGGTGCAATGGTGCAATGGTGCAGTGGTGCAGTGGTGCTGTATGGTGCAATGGTGCAGTGGTGCTGTGTGGTGCAGTAGTGCAGTGGTGCTGTGTGGTGCAGTGGTGTTGTGTGGTGCAGTGGTGCAATGGTGCTGTATGGTGCAGTGGTGCTGTATGGTGCAGTGGTGTTGTGTGGTGCAGTGGTGCAGTGGTGCTGTGTGGTGCAGTGGTGTTGTGTGGTGCAGTGGTGCAATGGTGCTATATGGTGCAGTGGTGCTGTATGGTGCAGTGGTGTTGTGTGGTGCAGTGGTGCTGTATGGTGCAGTGGTGCTGTATGGTGCTGTATGGTGCAGTGGTGCTGTATGGTGCAGTGGTGCTGTATGGTGCAGTGGTGCTGTATGGTGCAGTGGTGCTGTGTGGTGCAGTGGTGCTGTATGGTGCAGTGGTGCTGTATGGTGCAGTGGTGCTGTATGGTGCAGTGGTGCTGTGTGGTGCAGTGGTGCTGTATGGTGCAGTGGTGTTGTGTGGTGCAGTGGTGTTGTGTGGTGCAGTGGTGCTGTGTGGTGCAGTGGTGCTGTATGGTGCAGTGGTGCTGTATGGTGCAGTGGTGTTGTGTGGTGCAGTGGTGCTGTATGGTGCAGTGGTGCAGTGTGGTGCAGTGGTGCTGTGTGGTGCGATATGTTATGCCCTAAATTAATACATGATGATTAACTAACTATATTCTTCTATGTACATTTCTGAAATGCACTTTCTGTAAAGCTGCTTTGAAACAATATGTATTGTGAAAAGCGCTATACAAATAAATTTGAATTGAATTGAATTGGTGCAGTGGTGCTGTGTGGTGCAGTGGTGCAGTGGTGCAGTGGTGCTGTGTGGTGCAGTGGTGCTGTGTGGTGCAGTGGTGCTGTATGGTGCAGTGGTGCTGTGTGGTGCAGTGGTGCTGTATGGTGCAGTGGTGCTGTGTGGTGCAGTGGCGCTGTATGGTGCAGTGGTGCAGTGGTGCAGTGGTGCTGTGTGGTGCAGTGGTGCAGTGGTGCAGTGGTGCTGTGTGGTGCAGTGGTGCAGTGTGGTGCAGTGGTGCTGTATGGTGCAGTGGTGCAGTGGTGCTGTATGGTGCAGTGGTGCAGTGTGGTGCAGTGGTGCTGTGTGATGCAGTGGTGCAGTGGTGCTGTATGGTGCAGTGGTGCTGTATGGTGCAGTGGTGCTGTGTGGTGCAGTGGTGCAGTGGTGCAGTGGTGCTGTGTGGTGCAGTGGTGCAGTGTGGTGCAGTGGTGCAGTGGTGCTGTGTGGTAGAGTGGCCAGACGGAAGCCACTCCTCAGTAAAGGCACCTGGAGTTTGCCAAAAGGCACATGACAGCCGCACCTGAAGGACTCTCAGACCATGAGAACCAAAACGCTCTGGTCTGATGAAACAAAGATTGAGCTCTTTGGCCGGAATGGCGAGCGTAATGTGTGGAGGAAACCTGGCACCGCTCATCACCTGGCCAATACCGTCCCTACAGTGGAGCCTGGTGGGGGCAGCATCAGCTGTGGGGATGTTATTCAGCGGCAGGAACTGGCAGACTAGTCAGGATCGAGGGAAAGATAAATGTACAGAGACATCCTTGATGAAAACCTGCTCCAGAGCTCTGGACCTCAGATTGGGGTGACGGTTCATCTTCCAACAGGACCTGACCCTGAGCACACAGCCAAGATAACACAGGAGTGCCTACGGGACAACTCTGTGAATGTCCTTGAGTGGCCCAGCCAGAGCCCAGACTGGAACCCGATTGAACATCTCTGGAGAGATCTGGAAATGGCTGTGCACCGACGCTCCTCATCCAACCTGATGGAGCTTGAGAGGTTCTGCAAAGAGGAATGGCAGAAACTGCCCAAAAATAGGTGTGCCAAGCTTGTAGCATCATACTCAACAAGATTTTAGGTTTTGTTGGTGCCAAACATGCTTCAACAAAGTATTGAGCAAAGGCCGTTAATACTTATGTTTTTTATTTTTAATAAATTTGCAAAGATTTCAAACAAACTTATTTCACATTGTCAAAATGGGGTATTGTTTGTAGAATTTTGAGGAGAATAATTAATAATTCATTGAATCAATTTTGGAATAAGGCTGTAACATAACAAAATGTGGAAAAAGTTAAGCACTGTGAATACTTTCCGGATGCACTGTATATATATAGGCACAATATGTATGTGTTCATGTGCATTTAACAGAAGAATCCAGAGTCCGTTACAAACCAAGTTTAAGGCTATTCTGAGTTTAATTACCCTGTCATTTGGATTGTTCACTGCAAATCTGGTTAGTCTTGGACTAGATCTACTCTGTGTTTTGGGAAAATATAAGAGCCTGGTGTTAAAACCAAAGGCAAACACCACAGCGGTTTCACAGTGTGAAAAAAATATTTGCAGACTAAGCTGGAAGATGTTTTCACGTGAGAATCATGATGTTTAAGAAGAGAGCTTAACAGGAACTTTGTTATGATTACTAAACTCATTAATTATGCTATTGTTTAACATAGAACCGGAATAATATATTAAATGATGAAGTATTTTTATTAAAAGACTATCATATTTATATTCATTCTTATATTTATATTGATATTCATAATAAAATGTATAGTATTTAAATGTAAAATGTAAAAATATTATTATTAAAAACATTAAATGATGAAATATTATATAGGACAGATATATTATAATAGATTATTATTATTATTATTATTAATGAATATAAATACATTAAAGACAGTGAACATTGATATATTGATATTACAAGCCCAATAGAAAATCTCATGACAGCAAGTATAAATGATTTGTAAAAAGCTTTTTAAAGATCGTTTTCTGTTTCTGTTGGTTTTTAGACTATATTGTTTTAAAGTCACTTACTTGCCCCTGAGATGTGAAGAGTTGGCTTGTAAAAATGATCATGAAAAAAAATACCACCTTCATCCTTAAAACAAAAGTCCTCAAAATCCTGAGTGAATGTCAGAGAACTGGAGATTACTGTTGTAGAATAGATGCAGTGTGAGTCCTGACTGAACATCTATGCTGTCTTTGCTTGTTTTGAGAAGATGTTTTAACCCGCCCTTCAGATCAGAGCGCGCTCACATCTGGACGCGAACGCGCGTCTGAGAGAACTCAAACTCTGTCTTTGCGTGACGGCGTATGAAAGATATTGAATTTGATGTCGATTTAATATATTTTCCTTTGGATAAACATGGATATAGTATGTTAATTAATGTTGCAAGTGTTGCAAACTAATGTTGCAAACTACACAGGAAACCCTGTCAGCTGATTTGTAATTGCATAAGGCGGTTTTATAATAATAATGTTATGATAATAAAAATGTAATGGTATTTGAGTAAAAATATAATGTATGTATAGTGCTTTTTTTCTAAATGCTCTTCAGGGCCGATATTATGATTTCAGCATTAGGAGGGCTCATCTACCAATGATTAAAGGTAGATGATTAAAAAAAAAAAGTATATATTGTTTGTATACTATGGTAGGCATGACCAAACCAGTTGGTTCTCGCTACCTATCAAGTCAATCCCTGAATACTGAATTGATTTCTAATCATTTTAAATAACCAGCCAATATTCAGTATTTAAAGGGGTCACATAATGCCCTTTTTGTACAAGCTAATATGATTCTTTAGGGTCTAAATTAAAAGTTTGTAATATACTTTAATTAAAAATTCTCATTAGTATTGTAAGAAAACACTTATTTTACCTGGTCAAAAACAGCTCTGTTTTCAGCACGCCGTTTCAGTGTATATGACTTTAAATGATAATGAGCTTTGCTGACTCCGCCCCTCTGTTCTGTGCATACACCGTTTGTAACACAATAACACAAAACCATAACGCGTTGTTCAGTATAAACGTGGAATTATGAATTATATTGAGAACGTCATACATAGAAAACATGCTGTAATGTACCCTGACTGAGTGTAAACCTTAGACGCATTCATTGTGAAGGGTGCAGCTGGCGATTTGCAAAGATTAATATATTAATATAAAGTTTAATAAAACGTTTCACTCACTTCCGTTCTTCTGGAGGTTCAGCAGGAACACGAATATCTGGTACCGATCCTTTTTAGCAAAGCTTCTTAGCAAATCCAGCTTTATACTGACCCTCGTTTATAAAGCAGTCTGGTGAGAAATGATTCGCGCAAACATGAGAGCATTGACGTTGCTCGTGGGGAATATTCCCTTCGAAAACAAACTCAGCCACTGCGTCTTCAGCGGTTCGGATTCAGGAACATTAAAATGACTGTGTTCGTTATTACACCCAAGAACAGAACACCACAATCGCTTAGAGCCATTCTGCTCATAGACAGTGCTCCGGCACATCAACAATGACCGCGCCGGTCAACAACGCTCCCGTCAATCAACAATCGTGGGAGGGGCGTCCGTTTTATTGACGTCACAAAAACGAACGGCTCGATTTGAGGCAGGGGAAAACATATAAGGAGATTAAAACAAAAACACTGGATGGATTTTTATCATTATATGATGGTTGTGTACAGGCACTGCCAACACACATTTCAGTACAATCAACTTGTAAAAGTGCATGTACCATTATATGACCCCTTTAATTAAGAATATAGACAAACTTTATTTTATTGTAATTGTTTAGATTGGCAATATATGGGTAAAAAAAATTGATTTTTTTTTCAACACGTAACATTTTAAATTAGTATTTTTTTTAAACTACTTTTTAAATCTAAATTTCTCATTTTCATTCATGGAGATAATGTGCCATGCTTTAGTGGAGGATTTCTGTCAGGCCCACTATCGTCAAATATGATTGCCAGTCAGCAACAGTTTGGATTGGCGGTGTGGTTCAGTTCTGGGCGAGAACTCCCTGCGCATCCAGTCAGCCGAGCACAGATACGAGCAGTGATAACCCCCCTTAGGGGAAACACAACACAACCAACATGAATGTATGCAGATATCATTCATTCAAGATTTTAAAGTACAACATAATTAGAGAATTTATTCTGATTCAAGGGGAATCAAAATGCCAAACCCTGACTGAGACAGGAGGAGCTGGGGAGGGAGGAGGGTAATGCGCTCCTGAGAAACGCCACAGCTGCTGATAATACTGAAGGAGCTTATATATGTATACAGTGATAGAGTCGTATCCCTATAAGACGTGGATCAGCTGAGAGTCACTGATGCGAGCTTGACTAACATGACCTGCCAGAACTGACGCTACGCTTGATTTCTGGCACCTGGTGGAAAACAAGCACTTTTAAAGTCCCCCTGTAGTCAATAATTGTATTCCTTAAACAGCTGGTATAATGCCCTTTTCACGAGATGTAAAATAAGTATCTGATGTCCCCCAGAGTGTGTATGTGAAGTTTTAGCCCAAAATACCCCACAGATATTTTTATATAGCATGTTAAAATTGTCACTTTTTAAGGGTGAGCAAAAAAGCACCGTTTTTGTGTCTGTCCCTTTAAATGCAAATGAGCTGCTGCTCCCAGCGCAGGGGGCGGAGCTTCAACAGTTTGTGTCCTTTTACCTCACACAGATATGCACTGAAAATATCAATGTTTATGTTCAAACCAGAGAGACTCAAGAAGAAGTGACAACATTTAGAAGCAACAGGACATGTCTGAATGGTTAGTTGATGAGTTTATGCAGCTTATGTGTATATATCTTCTAGTCCTTGATTAGCATATTCTGTCTTGATAATCTATAAATTGTGTTCCAGGGGGGCGGGGTTTATGTAAATTTTAGGGTTGGTGATATCACTAACCCGGGAGGAAGCTAGTCTCTACCAGCCGAATGTTATTGACTTGTTCTAAATAAAAAATACATTTTAAAAAAAAAGGCTCTACAAAAAAAAAAAGGCTCTACCAGCCGTTTGTTGTAGTCCTTAAAAAACGATTTTTTTAAACGCAATTATCTTCCTTTGCTTTGAACTTTTGAGTTTCGTAACTTTGCAGATGTTGTTTATGCTCAAACAGTAACATTACTAAAGTTAGAAAAGTGAAATCATATTCAACCACCCCTTTAAAGCAGGTTGTCTTTTTAAGCAGGATACGGACCAAAGGGGAGAGCGGGGTAAGATGAGACTTTTATTTTTATTTTTTATTTATGTGGTCCTCAAGATAAGGGCAAATGAGGCAATGTATCTAAAATAATTGAATATTTTCAATGTATGTATGGTCCTCTTTCTTTGAATTCGACGGAGAATCACATGAGGGTGAGTAGCCTTAATGATTTCAGTATTTTTTATTTTTGCTTCATTTATTTCTGTTTTAGTTTTAGTTATAGATTAAATTATTGCTATCAAAGCAGTCAACGAAACGTCATATCTTTTCATAGAAATCCAATCGTCCATTAATCATCTGAATGTGTTCCCAAGACTAACATTCTCAGAGATCACAGCTGTCACAGACCACAGCTTTTAAATCCCAAACCCACGACAGTTTTACATCATCAGCATTTTATAAGCGTGATTTCACCCGCTGGAGCTCAAAGCTAAAGTTAGTTTTCATCTGTCATCCTCTCAGTCACATTAGCGCAGAAACTGGGGGACTCGAGGGAATGAGCTTAAAGCTCCCTGAACAACAAGAAAAGAACCAGTCAGCTGTATCATGTTAAAACGGGAACCGACAGTTTTATATTAAGTTATCGTTTCATTGATTTCCTTAATAAGAGCGCCTGGAGGAAACGTGGCAAACGCTAATGAAAGGACAGAGGCAGTGTGTGTGTGTGTGTGTGTGTGAGTGTGTGTGTGTGTGTGTGTGCGCGCGCGCGTTGAGAAGACAGTGATTTATGAGGTCTCAGCTGAATTTTGCTTTACAACTTTAACTTTTCCCGTCTGTATTTCTCCTATCCTCTCCTGTATAAATGGACCCGTCCAGCAGCCCCTCTGACTGCGATGGTTCGACCCCCAGTGTATAAGACACAGAAAGAGCTCGGTCTCTCTCTCTCTCTCTCTCTCTCTCTCTCTCTCTCTCTCTCTCTCTCTCTCTCTCTCTCTCTCTCTCTCTCTCTCTCTCTCTCTCTCTCTCTCTCTCTCTCTCTCTCTCTCTCTGAGGTTAGACAGATATAAAGAGCATTTCGAGGGAATCTACAGAGCAGATGAACAGGATGAGCCCAATATAAGACTGAACTGAGCCTGTGAGAAGCCAGCATCGCAGCCTTCAGTGTAAGTCTGAGCTATCGTGTGTCATTCTCCTTATTCTCTCTCACTCATTCTCTCTCACTCATTCTCTCTCACTCTCACTCATTCTCTCTCTCTCATTCTCTCTCACTCATTCTCCTCATTCTCTCTCACTCATTCTCTCTCACTCATTCTCTCACTCATTCTCTCTCTCACTCATTCTCATCAGCATTTACAGCGAGCTGAGGTGTTGCCAGATGTGAGCTGGTGTTAAGGAATGTCTTATTATCTCTCTCTCTCTCTCTCTCTCTCTCTCTCTCTCTCTCTCTCTCTCTCTCTCTCTCTCTCTCTCCTCTCTCTCTCTCTCTCTCTCTGTGTGTGTGTGTGTGGAGGAGGAGAGATTGTATTACTAAATTTAAAAACATGTCTGTCACATTTTACAAAAAATAATACGCAATATTTTGCGTTAAGAATGTGAAGAATATTTTTTATCAGACCTGTATATTTATTTTAGTATTATTTAATTACTATTGTAATATTTATTAATATTTTGAATGAGCTTTTATTTTTAGTATTTTTATTATATCACTTTAATATTTAGTAATTGTGTAGTGGGTTTTTTTTGTCATTTTTTATTAGTTTTTGGTTTTGTAATATTTTTATTGAGCTTTACTTTTATTGAGATTTATTAAAGCCCAACGAACACAAGGTTAACATGGAAGAATTTTCCGTATTATTTTTTGCTTTGTGTTTTAGGCATGTCCGCAAACCTAATGGATAATGTCCCGGCAGAAAATTACCTGGATCTTTTTACACTTTTTACAGATTTTTTATTTTTGTGTGTACTTTTAGTACTTGAATTTATTTTATTTAATTTCTAAATGTATCTAATTTTTAAATAAGATTTTTTTTTTACCTATTATTTTTCGAATTAAGATTTAAATTTTCGTCAAAATAGATTAATATTTTAGATTAATATTTTATTTCAGCTTTATTTCAATTGATGAAAACTATCTTATTTTTAGTACCAATAACAACACTCTTAAATCGACTACTTCAGGTCAGACCAGTAATGTTGTGTTCAGATGAGGAAAACGTCTCTCTAATTTCACTATCTACACTCTAATAACATATACATAAACTAATATTAGACTGCTATAATATATGAGACTAATATTAGACTACTGGACAGTGTCTTTCTGCAGTCATCTGATGATTCAGCCACTGCTATTCTACTAATGTGTATTATTTCACATGTCAAGACAAGTAAAGATCAACTTTACAAAGTAAAAAGTGCACAGGACGAACACTGCAGGTGTTTTATTGTAGTCATTATTACTTGTTAAATGGCCTATATCACTAGGACAATGATGCGTTAGTGGTGAAAGTGCACTGGATAGTGACAGAGATATTAATCTTGAGAAACACAGATGATTAACTCTAACCAAGCAACAGATGTTGGCTAACGTCATTTGAGTTCATTCTGACAGTGAAAAAATGAGACAGTGTTTCTTTAAATATATGTGGACAATTTTCTTTGTCACTAAAGAGATATCGTGTGTCTATTTTCTCCATGCTAACACAACATTTTCCCGTCTCCTGTTTCTTGATATTGCAGCACACATTCAGTGTGAGGCAGCCGCGTGTGTGTCGCTGTGACAGAAGGAGTGCTGTTGTATTATTCAGCTCATTGTGCTGTCTTTCCTTTTTAGACCAAAGCATGACGGGTGTTCTGCGAAGCTCCAAACAGAGACCCGGGATGAAGCGCCCTCGGAACCAGCCTTACAGGTACAGACACACACATTTCTCATTTCTCACAGGCATATTTCACAACTCGCGTCATGAACACATTAAACATCTGCTCTATTTTTGACATTCTGTCACTGTGATTTTCTCATCTTTGTCTTTCTCTTGTCTCTCCATCTCATTTCATTCCTTGTCAATATCCATTTCCGGGTGTTTTTGCTAGTAATGAGCTAGATTAGACAGTTAGATTTGTGTGGGGCATTTCTAAAACCTTGTCTCACATAGTCCAACTTCTGACTCTGGGCATAAAGTCTGGTCCAGTCGGCAGCTTGCTAGCCCACTTTTGTAGCGGCGGTGGTTCCTGAAGAATTCTTCCCATTCATTTTTCCCATAGGCATTTTAAAAAGAGTTATAAGCCATGAATGAATATAGCCAGCCAGCTACAAGATAATCTGAAGCACAAACGTATTTGAACATAGGACAAAAAGACTTAATTTAGAATTTAAGTCTTTTTCGAATTTTTAATATTCGTCAAATTCAAAATAAAAATCCACATTTTATTGCAAAAAGGGTGCATTTAAATTTTTTTGGGGTGTGCATCAGGCATCTTTATTAGTGGCACGAGATGTGATGAAGATGGAAGAGTTGTTGAGTTTTATTTGTTTTAGTTAGTCTATCGTCGAACCCACTTGATGCGACGCTGCTGCGTGTGTTCATTAATCACTGCAGAAATAGAGAAGATAAATGCGGAGAAGATCTTAGTTATGTCAAAACCTAAACCAAGCTGTTCACATAGAACGCATTTTCTGCGCTGCTTTTCCATGGTTTTCTATATTAAACATGCGCTAGACGGACATCTTTGACGTTGCACTGGCGTCTCGCACAAGAGAGCCGCGTGTTTAGAAAGCCAACTTTAAAAAAACATGTCTCGAGACTTTTCTATTCCACTGCATCTCATATTTTTAAATGCAAAAAAAAGGCACTCTGTGTGATCGGCACTTCGGCTCTTTGTATTAAACTATGCATTAATACAGGATGCTGTTTTGTTCATAATTGTTTATGCAATTTATGAAATTATATTTGAATTATAAACGTTATGCAGTTTTTTGTACAGTCAGTCTCAGTCATGTTATTTCATTGCTTTGAATAAAGTTCAATGCGGTGCATTAACATTTAGCTCACTGTGCCCTCTTGTGGCCTCAGGAGACAAGCCAAAAACTTCTCCCCCCCCCCAACTGTAATCATTTCTTTTAAATTCAAGTATAATTTGAATATTAGTAATTAATAAGTATAAAATAAAAATGAGTTTTTTAGTAAGTGCAGAACTTAGCACACTCGCCACGTCTTTAAAATGAGAAAACATTTCAGAATCCTTCATTATAATTCTTTATAATTGTACCAAATCCTTGTTAATTTACATAAAAACTTCATCCTAGTTTGAAAGACTGTACATTTTAATACTAGAAACAGTAGCTTAGATGCGAGATATATTATATATTCATATAAGCTTAATTTTTTACTTTGGATAATCTTTTTTTTTTTTGGAATAGACATCATGGTCCCATTCAGTCAGTCACGTTCAACATCATGTCGCGATACTGACGTATTAGGCTCTTGCCTGGGAGCCCAATCACCTTCGAGTGGTAACTAAACGAGCCAATTGATATTGGCCAATGAGATTTGCACGCCGAGCCACTCCTACCCGGACATACGAGTATAAATAAGGCCGGCTTGCACTCACTCATTCATACTTTGCTTCGGAGCCGAGCGGTTTCGACTAAAGTGGATTCTTGTGGTAGAGAAACAGCAATTTTAGTTGCTATAAAGAGCTAATCCTGTGGGGATCTCTCCTGCCGGTGTGAGAGTGTATCTAGCGGTGGACGGAGAAGTACAGCGTTTCACCACTCAGCACTTCGGCGTGTAAGAGCAGATTTCCGAAAAGAGCAAGCACAGGCGAAGAGCGTCTTTATAAAGATGTCTTTCTGTCCTTGTGTTTCTGGATCGGTCGTTTCCTGGCTTCATCTGACGGCCACGATCGCTGTCTCACATTTCTGGGCCGAGCGCATGTCCATGTTGGCATTGCGGTTGTGACTCTCCTTCTTTGCGGTGGCACGAGTCCCCTCTGCTGTTACCCAGCCTGCCATCTCATAGCAGAGCCGCGGATCTGGTTAACACTTTGGGAGGGGCACCTCGGCGCTCCAGATGTGGACCAGATGTCAATCGCTGCATCGGAGAGCGGAGCGGGCTCCTCTGGAGAGGATGATGAAGAACCCTGGGCATCGGGCTCGAGTGGGACCCTCCACCTTACCTTGAGTGCTCACGGTTGGATGATTGGTTCCTGCGTGCGGTGCATGGTTCACAACCTCGTTCTTCCCCAAAGCTTCTGTTCCTGGAAGAGCATGAGGAGGTTCGGGAGTCTTGCAAGGCACCTTTTAGTGCCCGTAGCCGCTCTGTAGCCTCCTCCACTCCTGTCCAGAGTCCTGCCAGCCGGCAGAATCCCCCACATCTCCCCTCCAAGGCCTGTAAGACGACAGCAGCCCTGGCTGCCATGGCCATCCTTCAGGTCCATCAGGGAAAAACTCTCTAAGAGCTGCAGGAGGGTAGTTCTGAGCCAGGGTCGATGCAGGAACTGCGCACCCTGCCCTCCCGGTGACGAAAGTCATGTCGTCGGCCTCAAGAAGCGGCATCTCTGGTTGGACCTGTCTGAGGTGAAGGACGTCAACAAAATTTGCTTTCTTGACGCACCCATCTCCCAGACCAGCCTCTTCGGTGACACAGTCGAGGACTTCGCCCAGCAGTTCTAGGCAGACTGAGGCCATAAAACACATCCACGACCTGAGTCCTCATCCCGTTCGCCCCGTAGAGCCCCTCGCAGGCCACCTAACCCTAACCCGTCCATCTAAGCTGCCCTGAGACGGGTGGCCCAGAGATGGAGAACCAGGAGAGAGTGAACGACCCAATCCTTCCCCCGGAAGAGGGCCGGCTGGAGAATCTTCAGTTTAGTTTTATTCCTGTTCCAGTACACACTTTCTCAGTAAAAGAGCAGTTTCCTCAACCTCTTCCTCACTCCCAGCCACCCCTTCTCCACACGGCCCAGTCCTGAGATGGGCATGACCATCACACGAGCGGCCGCCTGACATTCAGCCCCTGGTCAGACCGTTCCTTTCTCGGGCTGGAGTGCCCTTATGCTACGTTCACACCGGACGCGAATAGCGCGTCAAATTCGCGTCTACCGCGTCTAGTTTGACGCTTGACCACTTTGTGTTAATTCGCGTGTCAATGGCGAAATTGACGCGCGTAAAAACAAAAGTTTGAAGCGAAATTTACGCGCGTCAGAGGCGAAAGTTTCGAAACCCGTCGGCGGCCATCTTTTTAGATGTTTATCGAGCATTAGCATTAGCATTATTCGAGAGAGTCACCGCTCGTATATGCTCTGGAGAGCAGAAACAGCTGCGTAGGGGACATCGTCGCTGTACTCGGGTCCACCAGACCCTCCGGAGGTTTTCAGGAGTTTCACCATTTGCTCCAGGAGCTAGGTTTGGTGGACCTAACGGTGAGGACGCTGACGAGGACAGCGTAGGCCGTGTAAAGCCTCGGCCTCGAGTGGTTGCTGCCTGACGAGCCCGCGCTCTACAGCCCGGCGCGAGGTTCACCCTCGCCCGCACATTTATTTGATAATAAATTGAGCCAGCCTCCAAAAGTGAAACCTGTCCTGTGATTTTTTTATTTATTATACACTATGTTTGTTGTTTTTACATTAAAATAATAATGTTTCATATAATCTAAAATAGATATGGAATAAATAGCATTCAATACAAAATGAGTACTATCTCTCATATATTAAAATCGAGTTTTTATGTGAAAGATTTGCTTTGTTGTGCATTAGAACCACACCAGACATTTTAGTAATATTACAAAATAATTTATTAAAATAACAAACTTTCACTTCACCACGTGACAGCAGCAAGCAGGCTCCTGATTGGTTAACGCGGCGCGAATTGACGCAGAAGTTAAAATTTTTCAACTCGGGCGGCAGACGCGAATTCGCATCAAACGCGTGAATGCACAAATAGCACTAACTAAATCATTCGCGCGTAAGGCGCTTCCGCGCCAGACGCTTCAATTCGCGCCATTCGCGCGAACTTGACGCGCGAATGAGGCGTATTCACGTCTACCGCGCCGCACTCTACGCCTCATTCGCGCCGCAGGAATTTTTTACGCGCGTAACGCGTCTTTGCATTGACTTAACATTGAAATCACTCGCGCCTGACGCGCTATTTGCGTCCGGTGTGAACGTAGCATTAGAACAAGTGTCCAGGCATGTTGTTGTACAACAGATGCCTCCAAAATAGGGGTTGAACAACTTCAGATTTTTTAAAGCCGACGTTTATGTGATGAAAGTCGATTCGACGTCGACTAGTTGCTGATGACGTCATTAATGAACAAATAAGCCTGAACCTTGGGCTGAGTTTGCCTTGTGTGGGTCGCCTTGTGCACAGCTATTGCATATGACACAGCGCTCCTACATTACAGCTTATTTTTATCAGTTCTTTTGTATTTGGGTTTCTGTGAGAAATATAACTTTATAGATAAAGTAGCAGAGTAAAGATTACATTTCTATGAATGCATGAGAGAGTGAGTGATTGCGTATGAACTGCACCTAGCAGCGTCTCTCTACTAATAGTGAAGCTGTGGGTGTTAAATAGTAAGAAATATATGCTAGAACTTTTCAGTTTCTAAGCTATTTTATTGAAAAATCACAGAACAGTGTTGACAATACATTTCTGGGCTACTGAATGATTCTGTGTGCGCACGATCTTCACGTGATATGCGCGCTACTGTCTGTGTGTGTGTGTGTGTGGGTAATGCACCTGTACAATAAGCTTTTTAAAACGTGCATTCACCCGATCAATTTTGAGCATCCAGATAATATAATCAAACGTCTTGTGTAGCGCTCTCGGAGTATGCATTTATTTGTCATTTTAACTGCTGGAAACGGAGCGTAAAAGTGGAAGTAAAAGATTTCTTATCCTGTTGCGCTC